AGTCTTGTAAGTCCTGTTCACGTACATCATCTTGCGCGAACGGAGCCTGTCTCAACGTTTATCCATCATCTCTAGGCTCGAGTGTTATTGAGCAACTGGTGCCTCGAGCTCGTGTATCATGACTCGCCTCACGCTATGGTTGCTTCTATGCACCTTCGTCTGGTCTGCACGCCAGGAAGAGATGCCGCAGCTTGATTCAAAATCGCTGAATCTCCACCCCTTTCATTACAACATGATAGTTAACACTACTGCCGACGATCCCGAGCTTGATAGATATCTTTGGAAGGGTATCAAGAACGAAGATGTAGTGCCAACGAAAACAGGAGGAAAGGTCATCACGTATAGCCTGCAATCGAGATTGGGGAAACGAGCGGTAGGATTGCCTTGGATGTAACAGTGGTTACACTCTGCTGACGTTCCCCCTCCTTAGCCTACATTCTACGGGCCGCTCATCAAGACACCATGCCTTTTCTGTGGAAAGAAAGCCAGATCAGTCTCCAATGTCAACATCGGTCAATTCACCCCAGACTCGATGATCGATAGGATGAAATGGGGAGCCAAAATCGGGCAATGCCTGTTCTACGGGCAACGTAACAAGGCCATGAAAGACAACCCGGACTACAGGGGCTCGTCTTTATCACGCTGGACCACCGATTGGGGTTGTGCTCAGCCCGTTATCAGGCAGGAATTCTTTCGCACTATTTGGGTGAGTTGCAAAATACTCGAGAAGACCTTTGCTAATGGGTCTCCCACAGCAATTATGGCCAAATGAACAAGGCGATGTGCGTGACAGCTGCGAGACAGGGCAAAATTACTACTGCTTGAATTACTTTGAGCCTAAGTGCTGCTGGCTCAACGGAATCCTCGGTGAAAAGACGCAATGGAAGGAGAATGGTATGAAGTACTTCAAGGCCATGTCCCGAGCCATGGCCAGAACCTGCCAAGGCGAAGTGTTTGTCATGCTAGACAACAAGAAGATGCTCTTGAAACAATATGCCCACGCTAAAGACACTCCATCCATCTGGCTCTACGACGAACTTCCTGAACTTCAGAATCTTTACAATCAAGGGATAGTCACAAAGCTTACGGTGATACGCGTGGGGGACTGGAGGCGATTTGATCGAACAGGCTATGCATTCAGGAACGAAGAAGAACCTAAAGATGTTGATGAAGACGATGCCAATGCACCGCCTGCGGACATAAATTCGCGTCGCGTTCGCTCGGTTCCAGAGAACTACAAAGATGATCAGGAAATCACTGCGATGGCGATCAAGATGGCCAAGGCTCTGGCAAAGAAAGAAGCAGAGCTTATATTGACAGGGGAAATGGAGAAAGCTAAATCCGAAATGTATAACTTGCAAAAGCGCGGGTTGTGCACAAGTGCAGCCGACCAAGAACCTCCGGGTATGGACTGGTTTGGATGAGTACCTTGACGGCTGATGTTCGCGTGTCGCGATATTTGTCAGGACGGCCATGCATGTCTAGCTTGAATTTCATTATCATGGCAATACTCTTGTGGTCGTAAACTTCAATTTGTGTCAACAGTTCAATGGAAGAATACACCTTGAATCATCACATCTCGAGATTTGTCACGATCGTCTTCATATGCGACCAAGCGCGGTCTGACCCTTCGTGGCTAATGAAGCAACACTTGAACAGCCTGACGAAACACATAACCACGATTTGAGGCTAATCACTCAGCGAGAGGTGTCGAAAGCTGCAATAGCCGTTATAGAGTATGTCTGCCCATATATCACGTTACAAGCTCCCAATGTTTCGCGAACAGCATAAATTTCCATCTCTGGTAGCCAAGCAGCGAAACCTCAAGCAACAGATAAAGTATAGCGGAGCTTCAAGTGCCATGAGACTCAAAACAGACATTGTATTGTTTACAAAAGCATAATCTCACAAAGAAAAGTATACAGCCAAGTTCCCAGGCCGGGATAATCACCTGTCAGAGGTGCGGGCAGATCATCTGCCCACTAGATACCAATACAAACGTAGTATTGTGCCCACAAGCCGGAACAATCCGTCTTCACGGTTGGGTTCCACTTGTAAAAGTCATCCAAAGCAATTTTGTTGTTATTAGCGATGTCCCAGCAACCGTCTCCAGCCACGACCTTGTAGAACTTCTTGCAGCCCGTCACCATGCCTTGCTGTACCGGAGTCGGTGTGTTGGAAGCTGGCTTCGTTGTGGTTGGGACAGTAGAGGTCTTGAACGTTGAGGAGGCCGGTGCAGTGAATCCAATTGTGCGGATGCAGACATTGTAACCAGACCATAGCTTCGAGCAGTCGGTCCCAACGTAGGGATTCCACTGGTAGAATGAGTCAAGAGGGACTTTTGCTGCTGCAGCGATATCATAGCATCCATCTCCAGCCTTGACGAGGTAAAAGCCGTTGCAGTTTGGAACCATGCTTGGCTGTACGGGCGTCGGCGTTGCGACTCCGTTGCCAGTAGACGTCTTGACAGTGCTCGATGGCTTCATCGTCGTGGACGGAGCAGGAGTGACGGTGGGCTTCGGCGTGGGTGTGCTACCGATCAAGCCAACACAGACGTAGGTCTTGGTCCAGAGGCTTGTGCACTCACTGCCGACTGCAGGGTTCCAAGCGTAGAAGTCATCCAGAGAGATGGAGTAGGTGGACGCCAAATCATAGCACCCATCACCACTCACAACAAGATGGAACTTATTACAGTTGGTGGTCATGCCAGACTGGATTGGAGATGGAGTCGCAACGCCATTGGTCGGCGAAGGAGCCACCGTCGATGATGGAGTAGGCTTCGGCGGCGGTGGTACTCCCCAGTTCTGTTCGATGCAGTAGGAGTTCCCAACGACAAGCTTACATTCCGTGCCGATCGACGGATTCTATGACTGTTAGAGACTTTGCTAGATCCATGTCTACTATCAACTTACGTATGTCTTCAATTGATCTTCGCTGATATAATTATCCGTCGCGAGAGATGAGCAAGTATCGCTGGATATAGTGACTACCCAGCCGCTGCAGTCTGATACAGTATCTGCCGCCGCTGTTGTCGGTGGGTCCACAAGATAGGCGTTGGCCAAACCCAAGGCGCCGAGAACGAGAACGGCTCCAAAGTTTGTAGATCTCATGATGGCAAGAAGTTTTCTTAAAACGAATGTGATTTGAAATGAGCGACAAGTGGAAACGAATGATTCCTGTGATCGTCATTGAGAGGCACTGTATACGTCTTTTAACCCCTCGTTGAGAGGATCATGATAGATCCATTACTCTTGTCAACCGTGATCATCGTTGCCACCCGTACACAATTTCGCTTGACGTACGGTCAGCAGATATGGTCCTGACCGAGTGAAGTTTAGAGAGTCGGCCTTACATCCAACTAATGCAGAGTGCGCCGTGGTCGTCACCGCGGTTTGAGCGGACGTTCGCGACTATCAACGGCTGTAGATGATGTTGGTTATTTTTGGCTATGGCGTGTGTTCTATTTGCTGGTATTATGCCGGGTACCAGCATGCGTGGTGTGGACTGTAATCATGTGGTACTTGCAGCAGCGCGAAAATCCGGGATGGCACTGCTGCAGGAACGGAATGCCGGTACGTGGGAACTTGCGATGCGGGCGACGGCTGTTGTAAACAATACCAAAACCACTGTACTACTTGACAGCTTAGGAAGAAAGTATCGAACCTGCCATAGGTGCACTCAATTTTCCGTCCACAATAATTATCAGGGTCTCCGGGTAAATCCTTCGAGATGTTGGCGAGGTACGGCCCGGGATAAGAGCGGCTAGAAGGACCTTAGCTTTTACCCAGTCAGATTTGACCTCGATATTAAAGCGATGTTGTGGAATAAGGCGTCCTGCCCCACGATCGCGCAGGGACGTCATTGCTAGCCCCCATGTAGATCGGTTCCCGCCCATGAACCGCTGTTCTGTGTACCTGCATGACGGCTACGGAGAAGGCCAGAATACGCGCAACCAAACCAGGTTCGCGGCATAATATTGATACAAGCTTACGCCAAGGTAGCGACAAGCACACCTTCTTTTTCATCGCGAGATTAAGGGGTCACACCAACGAGCATTCGGTACGGCGCGTCCAGCGGTCCGCAAGTCTGGAAGGACATATCCTTAGCGTTTCTCTAGGCACAACGAGATGTGCCCCCACCTTGGCATGTGAAGAATGGTTATTGGTCCGGTCGGATAGAAGTAAGCATCTGGGTGACCAACTAGTCGCAAGGTATTCTGAAGGTCCTGCGTTGCTCCAGAATTGCGATCGAAAGCTTGCTATTTTCAGGGTCTCTACGAGGCCCTCGATTATACGTTCTAACGCCCTCTTGCATGTGGATTCGCACTCGTTGAAACTGTCCAAACTTTTCCATTGAAGACATACCGTTCACCACCATGCGGTTTCCTCCCTCGGGCGAGATTTTGCTATCACTGCTTTATGCCAACTCTGTTCTTGCCCAAATTCAATTGTACAATTTCACTACCGCATCCACCAACCTCTCTTCAACATGCGTCGCCGTCTTGAACCAAGTGCAAAACTGTGATCCGTCACTTGAGTGGGCGGGTCGGGGAAGATACGAAGCGGACGACATACTGCAAACCCTGTGCACGGCGGCTTGCACGGCATCACTGTCAACATGGTTGAAAAGAGCACTCGGCGCATGCACAACGCGATACGTTGACACCCAAGGCAATGCTATGCTTCCCGGTATCTGGGTAGAGTCCATTCTCGAGAATTACAGTTTACTATGCCAGAAAAACGGGTGAGATGAAGATATACAAAGTTACAGGAACATTGAGAGCTGACAACTTCAGTGACAAGTTTTGTAACGCCGTTGTTCGAGATGCAGCTGGAGTGAACCCTGAGAATCAATCGCAGACCAAATCGGCAGGTACGTAGTTCAGCAAAGCGTGTTGAGCGAAGCTCACGATGACTACAGTTGCAACCATTAAATGCGATGATTGCTTCTTGAAACAGATGCAAACACGCCTGCAGATGCCGCTTCTATCAAACTCCGACATGGCAAAGACTTTCACGTCTTTGACTTCGGCTTGCAAGAAGACTGGCTTTGCTGTCACACCTATTGCTGCCTCAACCGCATGGGTTACATCGTGAGTACCTGCCGAGCCACCACGACCAAGCTAACATTGAACAGCACAACAGTTTCAGGCGCCACGCCAACGCCAACCGGATGTACAGGCACAATGTATACGATTCGCAGTGGAGACACGTGTCAATCGGTCGCTGCTGCCCGCGGCATAAGTGTAGCTGGTCTTCTCACCGCCAACGGCCTTCAAGGCTTTTGCGCGAATTTCCCGACCTCAGGGGCACTTTGCATACCCACTAGTGGAAGGTGCAAGACATACACCGTGAAGACCGGCGACACATGTGCCAAGATCGCTGATGCAAACAAGAAGGCATGGGTGCAAATAGTCTCTTGGAATCCGGTCCTTGGTAAGGATTGCGGAAACTTGGGAAGCTACATTGGGTATCCGATATGTGTATCTACTCCCGGTGAAGACTGGGTCAATCCGAGCCCGGTACCCAGTACTTCGGAGGCGACCACACCGTAAGTCATCCACAGAAACTGTATTCGCTTTTCTAAGAGTGATGAAGACGTGGCTCTAACAATGTGTAGTCTCTCAAGTATGCCAGGTACTGCTGTCAGTCTACTCCCTCGTCCTACCAACACGGGCTTCATCAATGGTAGCGATGAATGGCACTACCAATACGGGAACGGAACTCGCCTTGACTGTATCACCTATGTCAATGGCTCTGACTTTGGTTCGAGTGCTTCATGCGCAGATGTCGCCAAAGATGCTGGCGTCAATGCTACAGATATCGCTGAATGGAATCAGTTGGAAGATCCTTGCACGTTGGATGGGAAACTTACGTACTGCGTACAGCGAGTGAAACAAGATTTCACATCGGACGTGACCGAATACTGCAACCTTGAAGACACAGCTACCTATGGGATGACGTGTCAGCAGTTCGTTGCCTTGTGGGCGATCGATTCAATGAGGTTGAACGATTGGAACCCAGGAGTTGGGCCCGATTGCGAGAATTGGATGCCAGGTGAGTCACCAGTATATTGTATCTGCGAAACCATGTGATATTAATATCCTAAAGGACGCACCTATTGCGTAATGGCGCGCCACTTTCGCCAACCAGGTATTCTTGCAGCTTGTAGCAAGTTTGCCACAGCAAATGAGACTGGCCGTACGTGTATCATATCCTGCTATACCATTTACTCAATTACTCATGCTATCAGGGCTCTCCGATCCATGCGGTCTCATCGAACAGCCCAACGGCATTGCACATGCACGCTTCGTTGCCTGGAACCCTGCGGTGATGAACAACTGTACGTTGATAACATACCACACACTGTCGGGATCGTCGTTCTAACACAATATCAGGTAGTGGTATCCGATATGGCCAGAGTTGCTATCAGTCAATCAGTCAGTTGTCAGTTCATCTTTGCGGTTCAAACTGTCAGTCTGGAGGTAGTGAACTGACCTGATTGACTGCCAAGACATTTTTTAGAATCGCGAACTGAGACTG